GCTTTCGTGCAGAGTAAGCTGGACCGTGTGTTGTTCATGGAGCAGCCAGGGCACTACAACGACGGCACAAATCGGGTGTGCAAACTCCTCAAGAGTTTGTACGGGCTCAAACAGAGTCCGCTGTTGTGGTACGAGGCACTTGACAGCGTCCTTCTTGGTGGCGGATGGAGCAAGAGCCAAGTCGATGAGGCGCTCTACTTCAAGACGGGCGCGGACGGAGAACGGTGCTGGCTGATCGTGTACGTGGACGACCTGCTCGCCGCGAGTCGCAGCCTCGAAATGTTGAAGGAGCTGCGCGAGCTGCTGGAAAACGCGTTTGAGATGCACGAAATCACCCCCGTGGAGAAGTACTTGGGGTTGGAAATCGTGCGGGACAGGCCAGCGCGAAAATTGTGGCTGCATTAACGCACGTACGTTGACAAGCTGCGTCGACGTTTCGTGGACGAAGAGATTTCGGGTCGTCGCCCGAAAACCCCAGTTTCAGTCGACGCGTACGGCGAACGGACGTTTGACGACGACGACTACCAGGCCCGCGAAGAGGAGGAGTATCGCCAGAAAGTGGGGTCGTTGCAGTTTGCCGCGAGCACGCTCCGTCCCGACATTGCTTTCGCGTGCAGCAAGTTGGGCTCCGGGCTGACCGTGCGAAGTGACCAGCACTGGAGGGAGCTGGACCGCTGCATCGACTACGTGGTGAACACCCGCGATTTCGCCCTCGAATTTGGTGGTGGACCCGAATCCTTGACTCTGATCAGATACGCGGACGCAGATGACGCGGGTGACCGAGAGAACCGAACCAGCACTAGTGGCTACGTTTTCGTGTTCGGTGGGGCTGCTGTTTCGTGGGCAAGCCAGAGAATCAAGTGCGTGACTCTGTCATCAACTGAATTGGAGTACATCGCTGCAACGGAAGCCGGGAAGGAAGCACGACGACTTCGCTTTCTGCTTGCGGAGTTCAAGCTTTTGGACCCGAAAACGCCTACCGTCATCAACATCGACAACTCTTCGGCCATCGCGGTTGCAGAAGGGTTGGGGCTCAAGGGGAGTCTCAAGCACATGGAGAGGCGGTACATCTGGCTGCAGCAGATGGTGAAGCGCAACAAATTCGTACTGACGTACATTCCGACGAGCGAGCAACCCGCGGATTACCTCACGAAGGCACTGCATTTCCCGGCCTTCTCCCGTTGCGGCGTCGCTGTTGGGCAAGTCACTCTTGCGGACGGCGAAAATGACAACACGCGAAATTAGGTGCCACGTCCTTCAACGTGGCTGGTGCGGTGAGTATTCGTGTGACGGCTACACGCGGACGAATTTTCGTTTCGTCACCCTGTTGTATTTTATTAGTTAGCTTTTCGCTTTTTGTGGTGTGCTAACTCCTCAGTTGCCCAGGCACGAGCAGGGCAGGGGAGTGTTGACGCGAAAGGCCCTGCACGAGCCTGTTTTCGTGCAGGGCCTTTCCCATATGCAGCACTTTAGACTATCGTCGCTTCGTTCCTATATGGTTCTGGTCCTTCCCATTGTACTCTATTATTCTCTTTTCCTAGTGAAGCTATGTGTGAACAATCTCTCAACACTTAGAATTTTCACAAGGCATTACAACAAGATTTCGTGCCCCAACATAGAGTGCACATTTCGTGACGAGATTCCCGTGCCCACAATTTCGTGCCCTAGCCTTCCCGAAACTTAGAAATCTCCGCAGAGGGTACTAAAATGACTGCTGCTGCTACTGCTGCTACTGCTGCTACTTCACATCACATGTATCCTTAAAACCAGGGTGCACATTCAACGCGGTTCGGCTTGAGATGTTGGGAAGGGGGTTTGGAGAAAAACAGTGATTGGCTCACGAGGGGCGACAAAAAAATGATTCCGCTTGAGCTTCGGGCATTTCGTAGGTGGCGGGAGGGGGTGAAATGGCGGGAGTGGGTGAAACCGAATGGCGGGAGGGATGAAACAGATTGGCGGGAGGGGGGGGAAACGAAATTGCGGGGGAGGGGGGAAACAAAATTGCGGGGGAGGGGGGAAACGAATTTCGACGGGGAGGGGGAAATGAAATTGCGGGGGCGTGGGGAAACGAAATTGCGGGGGAGGGGGGAAACGAATTTCGACTTGAAGGGGTTGAAAGCACACCTCGTAACCCACTCAGTCAAGGGATAACCTTTGATGCACATTCAGCTGAATGTGCACCCCGGTTTTAAAGCTTTCGTATACATTTGAAAAAGGGAGGTTCAAAAGTTTTGAAATTTGAAATATTGGTAACCCAGCAACAGCTAGTTTCACTCGCTTCACAAGGGAGGTGATCTCCCCGTCACCCAGGGCTCACTGGTGATTCAAAAATTTTGGAAGTATACGAAATCCAGTCCATGTGAGATCTACGCCACTACGCTCAACAGGCAGCATAAATCGTAGGAAAGCACATCGCGACAACAGCCAGTGCAAATCACTCCCGTTTCCGACACAAACTTAGACGCGTGGGGCAGTTTAGTGTAATTACACGTCCGAGCCAACGTCAGTTCCGCCCTCTAACACGGCGAGCCCGCCGGACCCCTTCTCACAGCCTCGCCTCGTCGTCCGTCGCGTTGCCTCACCACGCGGCCTCCTCACGCCACCGTGAACGCGCACGCTGCGTCTCAAACTGCCGAACACGCACGATCACAGTCGCTTCCCGATCGCGCGACCTCGCTACCACGTTTCCGCAGTAGCGGCGGCAGCCGCAATTGAGGTGTCGCGAGGGTAATCAGAAACGACTGCTCCCCATTGCCTCTTCCCGCCTCCCCGTTTCCCCTTCCCGCCTCCCCAATTCCCCTTCCCGACACCCCATTTCCTCTTCCCGCTCCCCATTACCCCTTCGCGCCTCCTCGTTTCCCCTTCCCGCTCCCCATTACCCCTTCCCGCTTCCCCATTACTCCTCGTTTCCCCTTCCCGCTCCCCATTACCCCTTCCCGCTTCCCCATTACCCCATGGAGGGCGCAGCGGGAACGGGAGTTGTCTCCAGTTTCTCGGCTCGTATCTTTGCCGTCACAGCTGCCCGATTTTTTGTCAAGTCCCACAGACTACAGCCCTAAAGTACCGCGGATGCCTCTTGCCTCTTTCATCAGCTCCCTCGCGTCGCATCGGCTCACTCTCTTCGCATCGGCTCACTCTCGTGGCATCCTCTTGCTCTCCGCGCATCGGCGCGCACCGTCAGCCTTTAGCCCGATAGAAAATGGACCGCAGCTGCCCCATCCACAGTCTTCCCGAGGAGCTCCTCGTCAAGATCCTCTGGCACTCCTCCTCCAATCAGCAGCCGCCAACCTCCACATGCAGATCTGACAGCGACGCATTATGGGCCGCGTTGACTCCCGAGCCCAGGTACATCTATGCAGATCCGTCCGTAGATAAACCCATCCAGCCCATATTCGACTATGATTGCTGTGACGACGACAAGATTCCGTTACAGGCGTTACCCGCTCCTATCCTCGCAGACGCCGCGCAAAATCTCCTCATTGCGTCGGTCTGCCATCGCTGGCGAAGGATCGCTCGGCGTTACGTCGCCACGCTTTATGTACGGAAGAACATCGTGGTTTCTCGCCAAGACCTTTCGAACGCCGTCGCCTGCTACGCGAATCTCACCCATCTCCATTTGAGCGACAGCAGCGTGGAAACCCTAGACGATGCCTTTTTCGCTCATCTCGCCACGTCATGCGGCCCTAAACTGACAGCTCTCCACGTAGGACGTCGAATCTCGCATACGCTAGACAAGTATCATCCTCACTGCGATTCGAGGGTAGATCTACACCCCGTATCCGAATCTGGCTTAGATCATTTCTTCCAGCATTGCTCTCAGCTGCAGCAGCTTTCCCTTTATTGCCTCCATCCAGACGCGAAGCTACCGGCTTCCTTCTTCCAGCTAACGGCTCTGCACACTCTGGTGCTCACAAACCCGTCCGCGTTAGAAGCTCCTGATTTGGCGAATCTTAGTTCCCTCGCGACGCTCCTGATCGCTTCTCTGAAACTCACGCGCGAGCAGCTCTCCAACCTCGTGCGCCTGCGCAGCCTCACCAGCATCTCCATCTCGCAAGCAACACAAGTCGAGCACCCAGCTGCTCTCCCCATCGCACAGCTTCCGAACCTGAAATCGCTGGAATTCGCAGGATGCTGCCCCGACTTGTTTCCGTCAGGAGAGTCGAGCGGTAGCGTCGAGCGGCTGCTGTACTAGGGCTTTAATAAAGACATGCGTCTTCATAACGACATTGCACAGCTGCTGCCGCGCCTTCGGGAGCTCTCCATTCGCGAGTGCGAGATGTTTTTTGAGCTGCCCGAGAACTTTACTTCCCTCAGCAATTTGGAGAGTTTGACCATTTCCACCTGCGAGTACTCTAGTAGCTTGCCCGGGAACTTTGGGCAGCTGCCTGTTCTGAAAACTTTGGTGCTGGACGCGCTGCCTATCCCCGAGCTTCCAGACTCCTTTTGCCATCTCACATCCCTGGAAACTTTCATCATGGCCGAATGCTGTGAAATGGACCAATTTCCCGACGGATTCTGCAACCTCACATCGCTCCAGACCCTTTGCATCATGCACTTGGAAGAGTACGAGTTCCCGATTCCAGACTGCATCGTAGGGTTTCCTCAACTTCATACACTCTATTTGAGCAGTGTTTCCGTGCATCAGCTCCTGCCTTCACTCACCCGGTTGACTTCGTTGACTCGGCTTGAACTGGACAGTTGCCTGATGGAACAAGACCTCCCTGAAGATCTAGGGAAGCTGAGTAACTTGCAGCAGCTGCTGCCCAATCAGAAAGCTTCCAGCGTCCTTCACTGCTCTCAGCAGCCTCCAGATCCTCACAATCGAGCACTGTGGTCAGCTTCCTTCGATAGCAGGGAGCCTGAGCAGCCTTAAGAGGCTCAAGCAGTTAGAGTTGACAGATTGTCACATGCTCACTGAACCTCCTGATTTCCTGCCTCGCTCTGTTGAGGTCCTGAGCTTAGAACTCCCCCACCGAGTCCCCTCCCTGCCAGATCTCTCTATGCTGTTGAGTCTAAGGAGATTGACTCTGAAGCTGGAGGGCATAGGACAAGGGGCGTCCAGAATCAACAGGAGCAGCAGCAGCAGCAGCTCACAGCATCTGAAAAATCTGGAGAATGTGGAGCATCTGGATCTAACCATTGGACAGGCTGTTGAGGAGTTCCCGTTCCCTCGGTTTCCGTTCCCGCAGCTTCGCGTATTGAAGATATCACTCGCAAGTCGGATTCAGAGGCTTCCAAGCGACCTTGGGTGCGATCTGCCACAGCTAAGGCAACTGCAAATAGACTACAGCAAGGGATTGAGAGAGCTGCCAGAGACCATCACGCTGCTGCAGCACCTCACGTCACTGGACGTGGAATACGCATCGCAGCTCGCCTCCCTCCCGGATGGCATTGGTGCCTTATCCAGGCTGAGGAGCCTTCGCCTGTCCCACTGCTCAGCACTGCAGCACCTCCCCACGTCCCTCACGCGTCTCACGAGTCTCCACGAGCTGAATGCTGAGGGCACAGGCATCAGCGCCCCCCCTCCCAACTTTGCGCAGCTGAGCAGGCTGAGGGGGCTCTGCTTGGGAGAGTGCAAGCAGCTGCAGGTGCTGCCAGCGGACTTGACTGACCTCAAGATGCTGCGCTTCCTGGGGGTGAAAGGGAGTGAGCTCGCGATTGACAGCGTCGGGGAAGAGCAGGAGCGTGGCTTCCAGGGAATGTATGACTTGAGAACAGACGTTGCTGGGGAGTAGACTAGCCGCTTTTCCTGCCCGCTTGTACCCTCCACCTACCTGCCTGCTTAGCCAGAGGGACTAGCGCTATTTGTCTGCAATTGAGGTGCTGTTGTTTATGTTCGCCTTGAGTAGCAATGCAAAATCCAGAGATTGTACTGAGCAGAGACGAGTGAGACACCAGTGGTTTATGGGCTTCACCTGCATGCTCTGCCAAAGGTTTTGCAATTGCAAGCACGTTGACTGGCAAGGTGGTGTAGCTAGTCAGTCACAGCACAGCACAAAGGAGGAAAGCTTATGCATGGTCTGTTATCCAGCTGCAGAGGATGTGCCTGGCTGGAGGCGCAACCTCACCCACCCCTACCAGTATTAGGTATGTCAAATTAGTAGGTATTGATGAACGCCCAGGCCCAGCCAGCAGTACAAGCTACCACCACCATAGCTCGCAGATAAAACACAGGAGAAATGTCACACTGAAACAGACAGCAAGTTTTGGTAGAAGCTTGTGCCATGTCTTTGTGTAATACGCTTCATGACAGACAACAGACCGAGTATCTCAAACCATTACAACGACTTCAGCGAAGGACAGCCATTGGACGGGGTAAGGGAACCCCAAATGTATGGTGGTTGTTGGTGGCGGGGAAGGAAGAAACAATACTACCAGTAATATGCCGTATGGTACCAGCGTTTGTGAATCTGGGGTACTCATCGGGTCGGAACGACAACTCAGCACGGTACCTAGCGTCATGCTTCTTGGTCCCACCCACTCCGTTCTGCACTCCATCCACAAACATGTTCGGGTGGTGTGGTATGCACGGGCCCCACCCTCGGTCTGCCAGTTTAGAGGCGCTCCGCAGCACTCACACAGCAGCGCACGTGTCTTAGCGCCTGGCAGGAAAGGGAGGGAGGGAAGGGGGGGAGGGAGAAAGTAGGGAAAGAGAAGGGGTGAGGGGCGATGGCAATGGCACTTATGCAGCGGCGTGGGCGATACAAGGCCTGGCAGGGATAAGGGATGAGGTGTGGGTGAGTGCACTGCGGGGAAATGGGGAATAGAGTGAGGAGTGAGCGAGGGCACTGCAGTGCTAAGGGAGAGTGAGGGCACTGCGGTGCAAGCACGGCCCCTTAGCCGTCCAGAATGGCAACGTCACTGATGCGACAGCGTGGCCGATTCAATGCCTGGCCTGACAGGTAGGGAGGAGGGGTAATGGAGTGCAAAGAGGGGTCAAGGCAACGTGGCATTGCTGCCAGCTGAAATGAAACCTAACATGGAGGGAGGGAGGTCAGGTGAGCACGTGCGGTTAACAAGAATGGTAAGCAGAGAGGGAGATGAAAACAGGTGCGCCTGGCCCCTTGCGCCTGGCCCCTTGCGCCTGGCCCCTTGCGCCTGGCCCCTTGCGCCTGGCCCCTTGCGCCTGGCCCCTTGCGCCTGGCCCCTTGCGCCTGGCCCCTTGCGCCTGGCCCCTTGCGCCTGGCCCCTTGCACCTGGCCCCTTGCGCCTGGCCCCTTGCACCTGGCCCCTTGCGCCTGGCATCTCCTTTGCTTTGCAGACCGTACCTAACTGCTGCATCTCCCTGCATCTCCCCTTGTTCTGCTTCTACCTCGCCCAGCCTGGGAGGGGATGCGCTGCCTGCACCTCTCTGTCCCCATCAATCTGTCTCTCTCTGTTCCCATACGATTGCTCCTCTCTGTCCGCATCATCTCCCCATCCATTTGCTTCCACAAAACCCTATGTCTTGACAAGCGCACCATCAACACCGCACTACACCGCATCACAGTGCATGCAGCCCCACATCACCGCATCAACCGAGGGGAGCAAGTGAGGTGAGAAAGTGAGGTGAGCAAGTGACATGAGCAAGTGGGGTGAGTGAAAAAATGAGGTGAGCACACTTGATAAACAGAGACCAATACCTCTGGCGAGGTGGCGTATGGAGAGAGCACCAATACCTCTAACCACCCTAACCAGCCTATCACCCTAACAACCCTAACCAGCCCTCCCAAACCAGCCCTGCCCAACCAGCCCTGCCAACCAGCCCTGCCTAATCAGCCCAGCCTAACCAGCCCAGCCTAACCAGCCCAGCCTAACCAGCCCTGCCTAACCAGCCCTGCCTAACTAGCCCTGCCTAACCAGCCCTGCCTAACCAGCCCAGCCTAACCAGCCCAGCCTAACCAGCCCAGCCTAACCAGCCCAGCCTAACCAGCCCTGCCTAACCAGCCCAGCCTAACCAGCCCTGCCTAACCAGCCCAGCCTAACCAGCCCTGCCTAACCAGCCCTGCCAATCCAGCCCAGCCTAACCAGCCCTGCCAATCCAGCCCAGCCTAACCAGCCCAGCCTAACCAGCCCAGCCTAACCAGCCCTGCCTAACCAGCCCTGCCTAACTAGCCCTGCCTAACCAGCCCTGCCTAACCAGCCCAGCCTAACCAGCCCAGCCTAACCAGCCCAGCCTAACCAGCCCAGCCTAACCAGCCCTGCCTAACCAGCCCAGCCTAACCAGCCCTGCCTAACCAGCCCAGCCTAACCAGCCCTGCCTAACCAGCCCTGCCAATCCAGCCCAGCCTAACCAGCCCTGCTTAACCAGCCCAGCCGATCCAGCCCAGCCTAACCAGCCCAGCACGCACACTTTCCCCATTCACCTTGGCCAGGCGGCGTCGGGAGAGAGTCACAACCACGCAAATGATGCGCACATACACCCCTCACACATGCACCCCTCCCTCACCACCGCCAGCTCTCCTTGCCCATCTCACCTTGGTGAGGCAGCGACTGGAGAGAGCCACAACCACGGGAATGATGCGTGCAGTGGCATCTGGTAGGATGGCCGAGAGGGGAGTGTCAAGACCTCCTCAGGGACAGGGCAGGGGGTGGGGTGGGGTGGGGGGCTCGCGGTGGTTTGAGCGTTGGATGCTGGGTATGGGTGGGGAGAGCATGTTCGGCGAACTCTAAAACACATCATGCCCAAGTGTTGATGCAAATCAAAGCAAACGTTCTCGCATCATCACCTCCACACCCTCCTCTCCTGCCCCATTCCTCCCGCCTTCCAAACCCCCCCTCACCCTCCCAAACACTCACCTGTCCACCTTCTCCACTTTAGGTGCGTACACCACACACCTGTGCACAGCCTTAACAACCATGACAACCCGTCATGATGGGCATGATGTGTTTTAGAGTTCACCGAACAACCATGACAACCTTATCCATGCTCCCCCTCCCATCACTCCTCTCCCCCTCTCACCTGTCCCACATTCTTCCTCCACATTTCATGCCAGCACCACACACTTGGCCCTCCGCTGCCGACCACCTGCCGCTGCTTCTTCTTTTGCCCCTGCCGCTATTCACCTCACCCCATGCATTCGTGAACAAACTACCACCATCACGCCCCTTACCATCACTAACCTACCCTCTATCCCCTCCTCACCTGTCCGAGGAACCTCTTCCATCCAATAATATTGGGCGCCGCCACACAATTGGCTCTCCCGCTACGCATTGCCTGCCCTGTGCCGCTCCCCTAGGGCGCAGGCACCGGCCTGTGCTGCTCGCAACGACACTGCTGCCTCCGCCGCTGCCGCTACCGCCGCCGTCGCCGCCGCCGCTGCAGCCTCAGCCACTTCCGCCGCCGGGAGACCCTCTGCGCGCGCTTGCTTGCCCCACGTGCCATTGCCTCTTCTCCTCGCACATCTGCTGTCGCGGCTCTCCGCCATCGCGAAACGGCTTTTGTGGTCTTATCGTCGTCTACTGTTTCTTTTTCGCCGTAGACAGTCGCTCACAGTTTCGTCGCCGCCGTCCGTCGATCTTTCATCGCAGTCCGTCGCGTTCTCTGTCGCGGACCGTCCATCGTGTCACAGTCCTTTGCTCTCTCATCGCCGTACGTCGCGCTCTGTTCGATGGCTGTTTGTCGCTCTGACGCTGTAGCAATTGCGCCACTACTTAACGCTCCAAACCTCCTTCGATTGCGAATATAGTATCGCCACCGTATCATGACGTCTCTCAATAAATGTCAAGCGTGGACCTCCTGTTTGCCCAACCGCAATCACTGCTGCTCCTCGCGCCTCTAATGTCGCGGCTCTCCGCCATCGAAATCGGCTCCTCTCGCTCTCGTCGCCCTGTTCGTCGCTTCGACGCGACGTCTATCGAGTCACTACCTTACTCCCACAGAACCTAGCCGGTGGCCATGTTTGCTGGATGGTGGCGTGACGAAATGTGTGCGTTGTTATACGATCAGTTCGGAGCTTACAGGCTAGAAACCTACAGAACTGAATGCCCTACGAATGTCAAAGGAGGGAAAATATAGGCAGAGCCGAGCTAGGCGAGAACAGCGGGGTAAACCAGGCTCGGAAGTTGGCGAAAGGTGCGGTGGCGACTCGGAAGTGGTTCGGGCCGAAATTATAGGCCGAACCGTTTGAAGCGAACTCCTCGGAACATACAAGCTTTTGAAAACCTACAGTAACAGATTATTATTCCTTATGCAAATCTGCGCATTGAACCAATTTTTAGGTAGAACTTTTATTTCTCCGCAGATTCTACCATCGTGTAATTGCGATTCATTCACATGCTACAACAGATGCAAACTTATATACTGCAGCGCAATTGCGCAACTTACACATCACCGCATATCGTATTATAAACGAAGTGCAAACAACCAAAACTGCCTACATTGACTCGGCATTTGATTGTAGCAAGTCTTGGATGCAACCTGCCTGGTGGACCTCTTGTGTTGCTTTCCTGCATGGCAGAGATGGTGGTGGGAGTGAGACGGCAGTGGGAATGAGATGGTCGTGGGAGCGTGGCAGCGATTGCCCCGCTCTGGCCCCATCATATCCCCATCAGCCCATCATTGCTCTCATATCCCCGTCATATCCCCATCAGCTCATCATTGCTCACATATCCCCATCATATCCCCATCAGCCCATCATTGCTCTCATATCCCAATCATATCCCCATCAGCCCATCATTGCTCTCATATCCCAATCATATCCCCATCAGCCCATCATTGCTCTCATATCCCCATTATATCCCCATCACCCCATCATTGCTCTCCTATCCCCATCATATCTCCATCAGCCTGTGCGCCCCATGGGTGTGCGTACAGCCCCTGTACTTTCTTTCCAGCACTCACGCACCAACTGCCTCCATCCCTCTTTTACCTCCCCACATAACCCCGTCCCCTTTTCTGCCTCCGCCAGCATGCTCTGAGCAGCCTCCGAACCCCAATGCTGTATGGGTGAGAACAAACAAGTGAACTACCACAGTTGATAACCAAAGAGAAAGCATCTTAGCTGCGGTAGCCAGTGGTCACCTTGGTGAGGCGGCGGCGGGACAGATGCACGAGCACTTGAATGCTGCGCGCATTACCCCTCACACATGTGCTCCTGGGATAAGACCAACAGGCAGCCTTAGTTTGGTATCTGTGGGAAAACCCACACGCACTCCTGGTATTTGTGCAACCAATTCCCAACCTCAGCCTCTAGTCACCTTGGCCTGTCTTGCAGTCATCGAGGCAGTGGCTGAGAGAGGCACGAGCACGGGAATGGTGCATGCATCGCCCCTCACATGTGCACTTCATTCATTCCCCACCTCAACATGTGTTACCAAATACCACAGCACCCCATCATGGGCCTTGTGCTTCATCGCAGTTACTGCTTACTTCCGTCCACCTCCCCCACTCACTCCCCATAACTCACTCACTTTGTTTTAGGTGCCTCAAAGATCGATTACTGCAAGCAAAAAATCAAGCACTCATACTAGATCACACCAACCACTTACTCCCCGCTCGCACCCCCTCCAGATTCCTCTCCATGTGCACCCTATGAATTTCACCCGATCATTCCGCCATCCTTCCGCCACGGCGGTCAGCACTGCCCACCTTCATTACTTTATCCAACCAGCAATCATAGCCCACACACTTTCTCCGTCCCACCGTTCCCCCATCCGCCTGGTCACATGACATCACCTCAACCAGCCCCCCATGCCCCACCTTCCCCTGCACTCACCTTGGCTAGGCAGCTTCTGAAGAGAGGCCTAACCTCGAGCATGCCACATGGATTACCCCTCACATACGCACTCTCAGGATAGAACCATCAATAGAGCACCAAAGCTAGACCCTCCCACATTCCCCATCTTACCGTGTGCAATCTGATTGCGCTGCGCCTCAGCCTTTAGCTGCCTCACCTTGGGAACAGGCATGAGCTCAGATAAGCTGTGTGCATTCTCTCACACACACGAGCTCAGGGAAGCTGTGTGCATTCTCTCACACTCACGAGCTCAGGGAAGCTGTGTGCATTCTCTCACACACACGAGCTCAGGGAAGCTGTGTGCATTCTCTCACACACACGAGCTCAGGGAAGCTGTGTGCATTCTCTCACACACACGAGCTCAAGGAAGCTGTGTGCATTCTCTCACACACACGAGCTCAGGGAAGCTGTGTGCATTCTCTCACACACACGAGCTCAGGGAAGCTGTGTGCATTCTCTCACACACACGAGCTCAGGGTAGCTGTGTGCATTCTCTCACACACACGAGCTCAGGGAAGCTGTGTGCAT